AGTGCAAAACAGTGCAAAACATTGTCGAACAATGTCAAACAGTGTCACAACAATGTACTCTACAGTAAAGTCAAATTTATTTCCTTAATTTGTGTGAAGTCAAAGTGTGAATTTCATTTGGGATCGGAGGGAGTAGTTGAAAAGTACAATCTGAGTTTATTAGTAATTAGTAGTTTTAGTGAATGAAAATACCTTATTATAGGAAAATATTTTAATTATATATTGATAAAATCTGACCATTTAATTTAGCTTTGTTTCAAAAATTGTTGTGGCTAATGAATTACTCAATGTACTTCTGGAAAAGATCATAATTTAAAAAAAAAACTCTTAAAAGTTATTGTGCCAAGCATAAAACTAAAAAGGGAGATTTCCCAGAATAGGAGCAAATGATGTTTGAAATTCCAAAATAGGACCACTTTGTTTTTATTCCCGAAATAGGACTAACATGACAGTACTTACTGTCATCTTGTAGCCCTGACTGCCAAATAGTTGCAGTACAGTGTATGTAACAATACAATATTTATTATAATTAATGACAGTATTTTTCAATCATGACAGTATTTTTCATACATGACAGTAATAACTCCTATTTCTAGAAGAAAAACATATTGATCCTATTTTTAGAATTCCAAGTATCATTTGCTCCTATTTTGGGTAATTTCCCAACTAAAAACCCATATAAACTTTTTAAGTAGTATAAATTAAAAGTCAGAAAGGGCACTTAGACCTACCGAACATACACTAGATATTGTAAAAAGCTTCTTCGAGTAACTTTCCACATGCGCTAATTAAATTTCAAATTATAAATTCATTTCTAATATCATTTTAATTTGAAAACTCTTTAATTTTCTCTCATTCTAAAAGTCATATTTTCTGAAGTAACTCATTGTTCACTTAGCTTATCACATACACCATATCATATAGGGAAAGTATAATTACGGATTTAAACACACCTACTGATCCAAAATAACAAACAAAAGAAGAAATACATTTATCAGATGGATTTAATATTAGTTGCAAATTAAATCACAAATAAAATCAAGTGGTCAAGTAACAGCTCATGGGCATTATCGATCGATTGATCACAAATCGGGTAGGTTATCTGCTCTGTTGGCCAGCTAAACATAGTCTAATTACTACAAGTGCTTAATTAAGACACGACTAAGACGTACTTTAATTGTTAGACTTAATTACTCGTGTTATCGTGTAGACACACACATCAGATCGATCAAAAGCAATTTCACTATCACTTTCAAACACCTAATTAATTTTGGAGAGGGTTGCAGCTGTGACTAATAAGTTGCTTCTATGGGCGATCGCTACCATAGGGTTGACCGGTGACATTTATTGCGGTGGCGGTGCTCGAAGGCGGCGACGAATGAAAACATTTTTAAAAATGTTTTCATTATAAAAAAATAATTTGTATCTTATTAGAATACAGTGAGTGTAGAACACGAAGAGATGTTAATTAGTCCCGTTTTATGTAAAAAGCGGGACGAATTAACATCTCGGTTTTGAAAATATGAAATTTCTAATCCTTTATTTTCTTTTTGATAATATTTTACACCTATTGGGGTAAATTTTTCTAAGTAAATAAGTTACATAATGTTAACTTTGTCTATTCAAAAAGTCAGAAGAAGCTAATACAAATATGAAGTTAGTACAGTATTAACGAGGTGTTTGGAAATTGGATATGCTTATTTAAATTGTTGTTAATTCATATATGCTGAGAGAGTAAAAATGGATACTGGAGCGCTAGGGTGAATTGTATAAGTACTTTTAGCTCTGGAGTGTAGCTCAGTATTAACAGTTTTTTAGAAGTCGGGAGTGTAGCTCTTGAAAATTTCTTCTACTTCTACTTTTCTAAATGTTACTCTGTAAATCTCAATGTGACATTAATTAAATTTAAATATAAATATAAAGTATTGGATAGTTTACCGCTGTAAAATAATTGGATACCAAGACACCCTCTATGTCTGTTCACAATGTCAATCCTACCGTGAGTCCGTGAACACGAGTTCTATGATACCGTTGACTGTCTTCGGCAACATTGACGTCCTCATCGAGAAATGGAACATCTACATCGGACATAGCCAACCAGAAGAAAATTATCACGACCTAGAATCGAGACGACTTGAAAAAGTACAGAAGTATTTCCATCCACACTAGCAACATCCTCACAGCCGGAACCTTGACGCATTCAAAGAATCATCCCTATTAGAACATCTCCAACGCAACAACGTCTTCCGGAACAATGTCGTCCTCATCCAGAAATGAAACATCTACATCTAAAAGGTCATAGCCAACCACAAGAACATTATCATGACCTATTATCGAGAAGACCTGAAAAAGTACACAAGTTAACCAACCTTCCATACTAGCTAGCAACATCCTCACAGCCGGAACCTTGACGAGTTCAAAGAATCATCCCTGTTAGAGCATCTCCAATGCAATAACGTGGCAATAGGTGACATGCGAAATGTAGATACAAAAAATTAACTTCATGAAATATAATTTCTCTCTCGCGGTATCAATGGTCTTATAAACTTAACTTATTTTTAACAACAATGTCAAACACAATGTCTTTCATGTAATGACATTGTGGAGAAAGGGCTACCAAAATTTATAACACCATTCAAATAATTAAGGAGAGATGTATCATATTAATTGATTTACATGTATTTATCTCTCTCGTATCACACATGTATAACACCAGTGATCATACACATCATTGCATTAAAGATGCTCTCACGGATAGACCATATAGTGAGGTTATAAACAAAACCGAATAGAACTGAAAATTAAGAACCCGTTTGATAACACTTAAATTAGCTAAATCGGCTGATTCTGCTAAAATTTATGAATTTCTGGCTGAAATGTCTAGATTGGTTGCCTTTTCTGAATTATGAAAAAATTATATTTTAAATTTATTTTACTCCGTATTAATAAAATAAAGAAAAATATACTTGAAAAATAGCTAAATTGATCGTAACATCACCAAATCCAAATGATTCTGTTTGGTTTTGTTTGATTTGATTTGAAACCCATTCACCCTATCAACCGAACGGTTTGGCACTCTTCCAAAGCACAATCACGCAATTCGCACAAACATTGAGCTCACCTTTTTTGGCGACCGTCACTATATCATCTCTTCGACTATCGTCACTTTCATCTCCTTGTCCGCCCCTAACTCAGTTGCAGAAATCTTCTACGGCCTGTGGTAGCTTCTCCATAAGGTCAATTATATCTCTCTTTTTAATCGATCATGACGGCCTGTGGTAGCTTCGACGGCCTATTAGTTTTCTTGGTTGGGCATGAAGGCCATATTTTGGCAATCATGAAAAGTTGATAATTCTGTGCAGAATGTTTTTCTTCAACCAAACTAGACCTCCCCGGCTCCCCTGTAAGCTCCTAACAGCAACACTCTAGGCTCAATGTATTATTTCATCAAAACAATAGTAACTAAATTTGATTACATTTAGAATTTTTTAAAAAAGATGACCATATTTTGTGAATTCAATGTCTCATAACCACAAGATATACATGAGTACATGACCATAATATGTTTGTGAGAAATCCCCAATCGTATTCAACAACAAACCTTTTCTTAAAGTTCTAACTCTATATTCATAGACAAGGACATACCCAAATAACTAAGTATATTGTATATAATCCGTAGCTATTACTCCATAATCCGTATACAACAATAACAACATTACCCCAGTAAAAGAGTTGGATACTTGGATGTATGCAACATTACCCTGTACTAAACCGGATGGAGACTATTTTCGAATGACCCATAATGAAAATCGCGTTGAAAATTACATGAACTAATTAATTGTTGTTTCATACGCAGTTATTACTCCCTATGATTTAACTAATTCCAGTTTGAAGGAAATAAACTTCATATATAAAGGCATTCATAAACAACCAAGTAACTTCACAAAGTTTATTGCAGCCTTCATCACTGCATAAGCAGACGTCATACATGACTTGTTGACTTGGTACTGAAAATCTCTAATATCTTCGAAGTGATATTATGTTATGAAGTACTCATCAAAATAGGATCGATGCATAAATATTACGGAGTATGTATTCTATACATTATGATGACAAACATCAATGAAGTTACTTGGTTCTTTACTTCTTTACTGACTTTGCGCTAGATTATGTTTGTGTTGTTTCCTACATTAATACTTCGTAATATCTATGGCATTTTACGATTTCCAGTCTATGTATACTCTTTGGCTTCTTTGCTAATGCTACCTGCACTCAGAAATGTCATAGTTTTCATTAATGGTACTGTATTTTTATAGCCATATTGATAGCCAGATTAATTGCTATCTGTACTCACTATTTAGCTGCTCCGTATATTAGTGCTTTGCCAATAACCCCTCTGTTTTCCTCTGTTTTGCCTCAGACGTGAAACACATCGCAAAGTGCAGCTTTATTTGCAATGGGTTAAAATAGATTTGTTTAACAAAATACATTTGGGCTATCCATTTTATTAGCAGTTCTATTGATGGGTTTTCGATCAGTACTAGTTCAAAATATATTATCATGAACATGCTACCAACTTTTAGCTTTCGGTTACTGAAAATATTTTAAAAGAAAAATGGTGTAACTTTTCGATAGAAAACTGACCGTTTGACTTAGTTACATTTGATACTATGACTAATCAAAGCTGAAAACTACATGTTTATCTTAGATGCTATTCACTCTAACTTCTAAAAAAGATTTTTTATTTTCTAAAACGCTTTTATATATTGTCTCAAACTATAAACTTATAAAAACTTTGTAAATAATAAAAAAAGTAGAAGATAGAAACTTATTAACTAGAATACAGGATCATTGTCTATTTGTCTTCATATGTTATCTTATTTATTGGCACACCCTTCTCTTTCAACTTTTTGACTCTGTACTAATCTTTTTTGCTACAAAAGGACGCTTATAAAGCCATCAACGGTTTGCATCAACTCACTACGTAATCTGCGTCACAGAGTATTTAGTACCACCTTCTATAGACGATGGGTCATATCACGATCGGAAAGGAACCGGGGGATTCTTCCCGCCGGCAAATCCTGCAATCAGATGACGCCACGTCAAACCCACGTAAGCCAACCGTCAAGCTCCTCCTCGTATTCGCCACCCTCCTTATTTTCGCCTGTGCTGTTTCTGTCGGCGTTTTGGTCGGAATACGTGGCAAATCCGGCTCCAGGAATAACAGAATAACCGCCAAGCCGAGCCAAGCCATGGCTCGGAGCTGTGGGAAGACTCTGTACCCGAGCCTCTGCTTCAGCTCACTCCTCGACTTCCCCGGCGCAACCTCCGCCACGGACGCCGATCTGGTCAATATTTCAGTCAACGTTACTCTCCGGCGAGCTGGTTCGACACTCTACGGTATCAACGACGTCATCAATGTCGAAATGGACACCCTCGTCCGGTCGGCGTACGAGGATTGCCTCGAGCTTCTCGAGGACTCGGTGGACCTCCTCGACCGCTCGCTGAGCTCCCTTCAGTCCGGAGGGAGCGCCCGAGAGGATGTTGCCACGTGGCTGAGCGCCGCTTTGACTAATCACGACACGTGTATGGAAGGATTTGCCGACGCCAGTAATGGGGCTGTGAAAGATCTGGTGACGAAAAGGTTGAAGGACATGACTGAACTGGTCAGCAACTGCTTGGCAATCTTCGCCTCCGCAAACGGCGGAAATGAATTCGCTGGTGTGCCAATTCAGAATCGCCGGCGCAAACTCTTGGGCTATCATGACTCTGTAATGGGATCGTCCGAGCACAGTGGTTTCCCGAAATGGGTATCGGAGAGTGATCGGAAATTGCTGGGCACATCGGCTCTTCCAATTCAAGCCGACATAATTGTGGCTAAGGATGGAACCGGAACTGTGAAGACGATCACTGACGCCATTAAAATGCTGCCAGAGCACAGCACTCGCCGGACCGTCATTTACATAAAGGAAGGAGTGTAAGTTTATTTATATCTTTCTAATTACTTTTGAGTATTTGCCAACAAAAAGTTACTTTTAAGTAAATACTGAGTACCAGTCTCTGTAATCAATTTCGTAAATAATTACTACGTATTTTATTAGAAATTGCTCTAAATAGGAGTAAAAACGTTAAAATTCCAAAATAGGAGTATCACGTTTTTTATTCCCTGAATAGGAGTAATCTGCCAAGTTTGGAAAGAAATGCATGTTTTAAAGCCTAGTAATGCCAAACATGGCAGAAATTTACTTCTATTCAAAGAATAAAAAATATGATACTTTTATTTTGGAATTTCAAAACTTTTTTACTCCTATTTAGGGAATTTTCTATTTTATTGGCGAAGAAGTTTGGGTTTTTCCTAAAACATTATGACATACGGAGTAATTATTTAAGTAAGAATATGACTAAAGTTACTTTAAGTTCAATATTATACGGAGTATAAGATATTCACATATTTATCACTGTATTTTTTATATTTTATTTATAAATAAGTATATTTGAGGAAGTTTTACTTCACAACTCCAACCCACACAAAAGTTTATTATTCCCTCTATACAATAAAATTCTTTTTCACGTATCAAATTGAGACGTGTCAGTTTTTTTCTTTTTCTTTTTTTAAATTTTTGTGTGTCTAAAATTCATTTACCTTTTTCCTACTTAATTATAATCATATATTTCTACTTTATTCTCATTTTTTCAAATCCAACTCAAGTCAAATCGCGAAGAATTTTATGGGCCGTAGGGAGTACAATATTAGATATTGGTAAGTAGACTGACATCAGTCACATAGCAGATTATATTAAAGCAGGCCAGTTCTGAATTAGATAATATATACTCGAGACCAGATTAGTAAAATACACATAAAATAGATATCTATCAAAGCAGATCAGATTAAACCAGACCAAATTTAAACAAAGAAGAACAAATCATAAAATTTAGTCAAATTAAAAGCAGATTTATCTGACTGCCCAAAAATTGTCACATACTTTGATCAAGTTGGCTAAACAATTAGGAAATAAAGTAGGGAATGCTTCATAAAAATTGTATCTATGTTTGGCAAATGTTTTTTCAGGACAAATGTACTGGGTAGAATGTAGCACCTACTGTCTACTAAGCTATAACGGAGTACTTCAGTTTTAACATGACATGCAATGTTTGGTGTACGGACAATTTGACCATCGTTTTATAAAGAAAATTGATTTCCACACAGACAATATAAAGAGTTGTCTATATCACTGACATTTTTTAAATGAGAATTTTTCATAAAATATCTGTGATACAGATAATTTTAAACAAGAATTATAAACGAGAATTTAAAATGTTTGTGATACAGACAATTTTTTAGTGATATATGTGTGAACATTGGTTTTCTTCATAAAATGCCGGTCAAATTGTCTATGTAGCCGATCTAATTGTATATACATAGACAATTTGATTGGCGGCGTATAAAAACTGGCGTGTACAAAGCGATTTTTCCATAGTATACTCCCTCTGTCACTTAAAACTTTAAGACATATGTACAAAAACTTGATTTTTCCATAGTATATCAAGTTTTTGACACGAAGAATATACGGAGTAATATTTTTGAGACATTCTAAATACAAAATTTCAAGGGAACCATGAATACATTTACATTTTACAAACTTTTGTACTAATACTAAAATTAGGAACTTAACCTCACACTTAATCAAGTCAGAATTTCACTGATCTCAGTCTTTTCGATCACTAATACAACACAAACGGTCCGTATATAATCCAAGCTCAAGCTAGCTACGAGAATTAGGTTAGTAATCAAGTCGGTAAAATCGTGATTACGACGAGGAATCCTAATTAATTAGACTGATCTCATGAGAGAATTATTTAATATCATGTGATCATCGAAGTTTGATTGGGCAATTGTCGGGTTGCAATAATGAGAAATTTCTTTTCTGTCGGCAGAAAATGAAAAATTAATAAATAAAGGGGCATTATTAGATTATTAGAAGATTGGACAGTACAGCTGTACGGACACCATTAAAATGCATTGAAAATTACGTGCACATGCAGGTACGAAGAACATAATCTGAAGATTGGGAAGAAAAAAACGAACGTGATGTTAATTGGAGATGGGAAGGGCAAAACGGTGATTACGGGCAAGAAAAGTGTTTCTCAAAAGCTCACCACATTCCATACTGCATCATTTGGTAATTTAATAATTTAATAATTTCTCTTTATATATACATTGCATTAAAAGTTAAATTGATTTTATGATGTTTTTATTTGGATTTATTTCAATTTCATATCAGATTAGATTAGATCAATTCAAAGCAGATCAGATTTGACTTTCATAATTATGAAATAGTCAAAGACTAGACGTCTATTAGACTACTAGACCAAACTAGTTTCGGCCAGATCAGATCAAGCCTTATAATTTCAGTACCAGTAAAACATCTTTAGTCTCAAACCAGATGAAAGTTAACCATATCATAATTAACCATATCATTTCATATTAGATCAGATAGACCGGATTTCAAAATGGATAGACAAGACCAAAAAATTATAATATAGGGAAAACTATCAAATAAGCCTCCTATACTATGCCAAAAAAGTCGATTAGGCCATCGTACTTTACAAACACTCAATTAAGTCCTCGAACTATTAAAAAACGTTCAATTAAGCCCTTTTGGTCGGTAAGAAACCGGTTTCCCGGTTAAACGGCGACGACAGCGACGATGTGCTCGAACCCCAGCAACGGCGGCTACTGGGAAACGGGTTACATTTAACCGGGAAACCGGTTACTTACCGATCGAAAGGGCTTAATTGAACGTTTTTTAATAGTTCGAGAACTTAATTGAGTGTTTGTAAAGTACGAGGGCCTAATCGACTATTTCGATATAGTACGAGGGCTTATTTGATAGTTTTCCCTATAATATAATTAAGAACATCATTAACCACTTTTAGTCCTCTGACTATTATGTCATTGACACTTTTGATACTTGTTTTTGAAAATTTCTATATTTAGTCCTTCAACTTTCATAAAAGTGACACTTTTGGTCCTTCAACTGTTATAATAGTGACATTTTTAGTGCTCTACTTAGTGTGTCAAAATCATAATGGGGGTACTAAAAGTTTCAATTTGACAATACTCAAAGGACTAAATGTGGGAAACTTTGGAATCGAGGACTAAAAGTGTCTCTAGCTAGCACAATAGTCGAAGACTAAAAATGGAAAAATTAAAAGTCGAGTACCAAAAGTGTCACTGACATAATAATAATCGGAGAATCGAAAATGATAAAAACTCTTCCCCATTACTTTAATGTCTTAATACTTTGGAATAGCCTAACAAGGCATGTGCTATGTTGGGTTAAGGACAAATGATTTTTAATTAGATGAAGGTTAGAGAGAATGAACAAGAACCGCTGTTTATTATTATAAGAACAAGTAAATTCAAATTGTCAAGGAGTAAAAACATTGTGACATTCTAAAGCAGTTGTCTTCCTAAATATAAGTAATTATTTGTATGTTTGGAAAATAATATCAATATAATTATAACATTAATCCTGTCATATTAGTGTCCTTTAATACCAAAAAATTGTATTACTATTCCAGAATACAGCAGTTATCTCAATTTAGGAGGAAAATATAGTATTCTTATTTTGGATTTTGACATTACTTTTACTCTTATTCCGAATATATCTCTACAAATAAACAATCCATTAAAAACCTCTTATATTTAGTGAAAGTCGTGTCTATAGGATAGGAACTTTTAGCTCGCAATTCGATTGATCTCCACTAAACATAAATGTAGGCTTTCCAAACTCCTTTCAATATTTTTATATAGAAAAGTGGTGTTTGTACATGCTTTCATACAAATAATAATTATTGTCTTTCATATTAGTTCACCAACGAAGCATTTATCTAAAGAAAAGTCATCTGAATATCATGTGATGAGTTGTTGAAAATGACAACTTATGTTCGTGATGGTTTGTATGTTTTGAGACACTAATTTGCATTCTAGTTTTGTAATTTGCACACATATCAATGTTTGTGTATTTATAAATATGTAACAAACATTTCTTGTGTCACTTTCTTCTTTTAAGCATGTTATGGGATGAGTTAACTTGACATATAAAGAAGGATCTATCGTACCATATTTTATACTCCCTCGTCCCGAAAAGATTTGCCAATTTGACTTTTCTCGGTTAATAACAATCAACTTTGACCAATGATATTTTTTAATACTCCGTATGAAATTATTTTTGAATATGAAAATTATATCAAAATGTTCCTTATTCAAAATATTTTCACAAAAGTATGAAATTTACAATTTATATAAAAATATAATAATAAAACTCATTATCCAAAGTTTGTCATCATTGATCAAGAAAAGTAAATATGGCAAACCTTTTCGGGACGGAGGTAGTACTTAGTATCAGGGGCGGAGTCTAGGCAGAGTCTAGGTCAGGGTGAGCAGCCAATTAGGGGCAGAGCTACTAATGATCCAAAGTATTCGCTTGAACACTCGAAGCTTTTAAAAATGTAAGAATATACACCAATAAATTTAATATAATTATTTAGTGTTCACTAAAGTTTTAATTGTAAAAGCTTTTGAAGACCCAAAACAAGAATGCCAAGTCCGCTACTGCAGCCAGCCCCTCGATAGTTCAAAAATATACCGCAGTGAAATATATTCAATTTGATATATCATAACTCTCGTAACTCATTGCCAGTAAAAAATTGTGAATTCTGGAAAATCAACACTATCTAAACTTGAAATGAATAAAATGTGTACATAATTTTGATTATATTCTCAAACTTGTAAAATAATATCTAATTCACTCATTACTTACGTGAAATTTGGAATGTTCATCATTACATGACATATAGATCAAGTCTATAGCTATATTAGACACATTTCAACTTCAATTGTTTAAACTTCAAATGAAACATTAATTTGAGATATTATTTAAAAACGATCAACCCCTTTTATTTTATGTTTAGTTAATTATACTTGGTACATACTAAGGGCATAGAAATATTTATTCTCATAAAAATGGTACGATTCATTTTGGACCGATGATACACAAAAAGAAACATTTTTTTTGTAGAAATTGCTCTAAATAGGAGTAAAAACGCTTTGAAATTCCAAAATAAAAGTATCATGTTTTTTTCTTTGAATATGAGTAATCTGCTAAGTTTGGGAAAAAATGTCATGTTTAAAAGCCGAGTAATATCATATTTGGCATAAATTTACTCCTATTTAGGAAATAAAAAACATGATAGTCCTATTTTAGAATTTAGTGTTTACACCGTTTATGATGTATCCTTAACCAAGAAGCGATTGAAGTTGATTTGCATTATTCTTCTTTAAAGATTCCTTTGTTTTAGGAGAAAAAATACATATTCCCAACCTCGTCAAACCAAGTGGCCTAATCTATTGTCCTACTATACGTGGATTTCAGTGTCCTCTTGGCCACAAGGGAATGGGATTCCTTATCCACCAATGACCAATCCTCCACTATACTATAATTAAATTGGGCGGTCTAGTGCCAACAATAGACATTTGTGTTGTGTGAGCCTCACTCCATTAATTTTGAGAATAGCGTGTAAGAGCATATTAATGTTATAATGTGTATGATGCATATGTGGCATGAGACATACCCACATGAATATTAGCAAATAAATTATTTCTCCCTTATTTGAATGATTTTATATGACTTTTATAAGTTTTTCTCCACAATGTCTAGAAGATCGTCTAAATGTTGACATTATGATCGACATTTCAGAATTTTTTTTACCAAAATTGTAAAAAATCATTCAAATAAGGAGAAAGACAATGTCTTATCTCCGTGATTACCACGAAAATGGAAAGAAAAAGGTACTTGTATATTTTATGGTTGGTTAGTGATTTAATTAAGTCAACGAACTGTGCTCGAAATTTAATTCATATACACGGTCATCTTGTGTTCTTGACCTCCGTTCCTAACCCATAAGCACCCATTAAAGTATTAGAGTTGGTTTGGTGACATTGATATCGACCAAATATATTGCAATTTCTGAAATTACTGTTGAAACAGCTTGAATTATGGGATTAAAATGAAACTGCATTGGTCAAATACAATAAAATTTCAAATCCTTAGTTTTGTAATATCTTTTGAAATAAATATTACTTTGTTCTTCAACTATTGTGTCGGTTACACTTTTAGTACTTGATTTTTTATTTTATTTCATTTTAAGTCCTTTGATTATTGTCCTGAAAACATGTTTAATTCATGACTTTGAAATTTCCCACATCTAGTCTCTCTAGTAAAATAGTCAAAAGACTAGAAATGCAAAAGTTCAAAGTCAGGTATCAAAAGTGTCACCATAGGAGGCGCAAAATTTACAAGCACTCTGAAAAGTTGCTCCGTTCTTATTTAACTCTCACATATTTCTTGTTTTTATTATCTTTACCTTTTTTGCTTTTGGAAATTACTTGAGAGAATTCCCCAAATAGGAGCAAAACATAGGGAAAATGCAAAAATAGGAGTACCATGTTTTGAATAGGAGTAACTTTAGTGTTTGGACAAGTATACCCCTACCCAAGCCCTAACAACTTTTAATTAAATGTTTAATTCATAATAAATTCGAAAAAATTTCAAAAAATCGTAGAAAAATAATTAAAAAATTTATAAAATATTAATAAAATAAAAAAATTAAACAAATAATTTTTAATTTTTTTTTCTTTTTTTAAAAAAATAATAATAAATAGTAAAACTCCATAAAAAAAAATAAAAAAATATGGATGTCTTTCCCACCGCCTATACTACCTCCCTGCACCATCACCTCCGGTTGGTGAAAAAAAATTCCATTTTTCCTAAAAACTGCCTTTTTTCTGAAAATGCCAAAAACATGGCATATTTCTCTTTGCGAATGCCAACATTTTCATTGTTTTCTGCCATAAATATGGCATTCGTAATGAACTTGGCATTTTTTCCCTGGTGACTGGAGGTGGTGGGGCTGAGGCGGCGGTGAATTTTATTTTATTTTTTTGATTTTTTTATTTTTTAAAAAAATTATTTTTTTAAAAAAAAATAAATAAATAAATTATTATTATCGAATAAGTCATAAATCAACTAGGTTATGATTAAATAAGTCATATTTTAGAATTAACTAGGTTAGGGATATTAAGGGTACAAAATTAATGTTTACTCCTATTGAAGGAAATTTTAAATTTTACTCCTATTTGTGCAATTATGTTTATATTTACTCCTATATTGGGCAATTTCTAAAATTACTTCCTCTCATAGTTTTTTCATCATTTTCTGCTTCTTAATATATTCTATTTCCTACATTTTCATTTACCTTATATCTTGTGTATTGTCTCAATTACTTTCTTGTTGAAAACCACAAATTACTGTGAAGAGCTAGCTAGATTAGTAATTTAGACAAAATAAGCTACTCCGATCGTATGATGCGCCGAGCAACTCTTGGCATATCCTTTTGAGAGGGAAGTGTGTGGTTCATATTGAACATTCTTTTCTAGAGAAGTTAATTAGTCTCTCCGTCCTTAAAAATGCTTTCCGGTTTTACTTGGTACACTTATTAAGAAAGTGGAATAAAATGGAAATGTATGGTTGTGGTTGTGTAAGAAAAAGATGAAATGAGCGTGAACCACACAAATTGTACAAAAATGGTAAGTGAGAAGAATTTTTTGGAACAGATCAAAAAGAAAAGTGGAACGGATTTTCAGAGACGAAGGGAGTATAACTACACAAAACTACTGAAAATGAAGAATTAACAAAACAAGAAATTAAGCTTAATGGGATGAATGAAATATGAGTTGTAAATCACTAACGGATCAAGTTGTCAACAAACACAGCACATATGCTCGGTTGACATGCAGCTAAACACAGCCTCATAACTACAAGTCTACAAGTGCTTATTATTATTTATTAATTATTAAATAATGCATACGACTAAGACTTTAATTGTTAGACTTAATTACTCGTGTAATCGTGTATACACACAGATATCATATCAAAAGCATGTTAATCACGTGACCATCATTTTCGAACAACTGATTACATTTAAAATATATTTTATTAATAAAATAAATAAAAAGTGAATGAAAATAACCAAAATGGGTCATTACATTAAAAGTTATATGCTTGATAAAAAATGACTTATAAAGTTATCAAGTCAAAGAAAGATGTTATCAAACAAGCCCTTAATTAATTACCCGTGTAGCCCTGTATCGTGTACACACAAATTTCATATCAAAAGCAATGGGGATCATGTGACCATCACTTTCCAACAACTAATTACATTTAAATATGTAGTACGGAGTATAATTTATTGGTAATATAAAAAAATAAATGAAAAATAATTAAGATGGTCCAATAGAGTAAGTTTAGCCAATTCCGTTAGAAAGTAATTTGAATCTTACTTATTATGATTAATATACAATTACTATAAAAAATAACATGTTTGATAAAAATGGTGATTATAAGACTGATAATTGAAGACTTGTTTGATCAAACAAGGCCTTAATTACTCGTGTTACACATATCCGATCAAAAGCAATGTGACCATCAGTTTTGAACAACTAATTAAATTTGGAAAAGGCTTGCCATAATGTGGCTACCTAATTTAGCTATGGCAAACAAACAACCCAAACTCATTTACCGGAATAGATAAAACTAAAGTAAATACGAAGTATAATAAAGGGAAAAGTATGGAAAATGTACTTGTGATTGAGCTCGTTTTCAGACAGGGTCATATCTTTCATTTTTTATCAAAGTGGTTTATGTGTTTGAATTCCGTTATTACATGAGAGTCACACCGTTAAAAAAGTCTGAAAAGACCGTTAAAAGTAACTTCGATTTTCAAAAGTGGCCAAAAAATTAAAAGAAAAATACCGGAAGGTGTGCCTCAATAAGACGACCGCTAAACCATCTTTCTTTTTTGTTTTCATCCACCCTTGTCACCGGAAAGTCCATCGAAAAAGTGATATTAGCGAAATGATTTTTAAAAAATAATTCAAACAGGTCTGAAAAATCCAAAGACGGAGGTGGTTTGGAGGTCAACTTGACGAGGCGCACCTTTCGGTATTTTTCTTTTAATTTTTCGGGCACTTTTGAAAATTGGAGTTACTTTTAACGGTCTTTTTCAGACGTTTTTAACGGCGTGGCCCTCTTGTGATAACGGAATTCAAACACATGAACTACTTTGATAAAGAATGAAACACATGACCCTATGTGAAAACAGGCCCAACCACAAGTACCTTTTTCGTACTTTTCCCTATTATAAAACTTGTCAACATAATTAATCTATAATGAGCATATAATGAGTTCATGATTTCTCATACAGCTGCAACTGGAAATGGATTCATAGCCAAAGACATTACATTCCAAAACACGGCAGGCCCGATGAAGCATCAAGCGGTGGCCCTCCGTGTAGGAGCCGACCACGCGGTGATTTACCACTGCCAAATCATTGGATATCAAGACACCCTCTATGTCCATTCCCAACGTCAATTCTATCGTGAATGTGACATTTACGGCACTGTTGACTTCATCTTTGGCAACGCTGCCGTTGTCATCCAGAAATGCAACATCTATGCCCGAAAGCCCATGGCCAACCAAAAGAACACTATCACGGCCCAGAACCGAAAAGACCCGAATCAGTACACGGGCATTTCCATCCACGCTAGCAACATCCTCGCAGATGCAGACCTCGACGCATCCAAGGACACCACCCCTACATTCCTAGGACGGCCTTGGAAGATGTACTCAAGGACAGTTTACATGTTGTGTTACATTGGGGACCATGTTGACCCTAGGGGTTGGCTAGAGTGGAATGGGGATTTTGCACTTTCCACATTGTACTATGGTGAATACATGAATAATGGGCCAGGTTCGGGTCTGGCCCAACGGGTGAATTGGCCCGGGTATCGTGTTATTAAACTCGAGACGGAGGCAAACATGTTCACCGTGTCTCGTTTAATCTCGGGTTCATCTTGGTTGCCATCTACAGGAGTTGCTTTCTTGTCTGGTCTTAGCACATGACCCGGCTCTCTATACGTCATATACGGTATATATAAACATACAATTCGTATAATTATATATGTGTGTGTAAATCAATGAATAATTTTGATTATAATAGAATAACTAATATTGTTCTTTTAATTAACTAATTCTTATAATATTATACAATCATTTATGTAATCATATTGTAATAACTTTTAATAAAATTGATAATTCATTTGTTGCATCTTCATTGCTAAGATTCAAGAATCACAATTTCCACACATATATCTCCACTTATATACCAAAAGTTTATGATTCAGTGCTCTACTACTAATGTTTTCAACATGCGTGAGTAATTTTTTTTCATATCGTAATTATTTGAATGTTTGGTTCTATTGCTTCATTTGAGAAGATATACGAATTACATATTTCACAATTCACACTCATTCATATGGCAAGTTTCATTAAATAATGAGTATGTAAATGGGGTGTTTGGTTAATGGCCTCTATCTGTCATTTTTGGTTGTTTTGACCAACATTTGGTTTTTATTCCCAATTTTCTTAATCTACTCATACCTCTTCTTCCGATAACTCTCAATTGCCTTCTTTATCTTCACTGATTTAACTCATATATACAAGTCTCTGTCAATTCATCATATGGGTTGCCGCTAAAGTTGAATTTTTTGCTTTTTATTCCAACTCATACTAAAATTGGGTATTGCTGCTATTTATCCCCACTACTAGAAAATGGCTTATAATGACTTTAAATAAGTATCACTGTAAGTTTCTGTGACACTTCACATTAGTCAAGGTAAGTCGGAAATTGTGACACTTGACATGAGCCACAAAACACATGTCAGAAAATGGTGAAATTATAGTGTTGCAAAATATTATGACACATTTGTAAAACACAAACATGTCACAAAAATTAATGATGTTTTTATATCACACCTTTTTTGATACAATGGTATTATTAATTTATTCACCAAAATTTTCTAAATGCAGCTATATTAATAATATAATCCATCTATTCTATTAATAACATCTAATTAATTAATGAAGTCACTCCCATAAATATATTGTATATCCAAAAGAGTTTTCAAAATGAGGATTCAATGTAACATACAGCCCAAGCTAAGTAAGTAAAATGGTTGATTCAAAACATCATAGTTAAGCAAAATTACCATATACCACATTAATAAATAGACATTCCTAATAACTAACACTTACTTGCACCAAATTTCTACTATAAAATTTGAGACCTTCTCGCAATCCATAACTATGCAGCACATGACCTTATTCATGTGACATCGTCGAAATCCAAAAACCTCTGCTTCATTCTCTACAGTGCACCTATCTCCCAGACACCGGTCAACTAGGATCGATAATATCCTCATGTTCATGCTTTGTTCTTTTCTTTTCTCTGCAACAAAACTCGTTGTTCATTGCATATTCAGCTTCCTCGAAGGTCCAGATTGTTCTTCGAAGATTTCAGTCTGTTGCAGGGTGCCATGAGGAGTTTCGTTTACGTTGTCGCCCTGGTGGTTCGATCTGTGGTTGATTCTGACCAGACGCAAGTCCCCGTTCCCGAGCCCAGTATCTCTGTGAGCTCCATTGACATCGCAATGGCTTCCTCACTATTGGAGGTCTGGAGTTCTGATGTTTTAAGTCCCTGCCTTGCACCCCCTCTGCCCGCTATGAGAAGTCCGCACATGGATGGTCATGTGGTCTCGGCAAAGCAGACGCGTCTGTTGAGTCACAAATCTTGATTTGCTGTTGACATGTCTCAGTGTCATATGTGGAGTGTGGATCTCTTCCTGAGAAAATAAGGGAGCCGAATCAGATAGAGAATCCATCTGTGCCAGTCCAATTCCTTTCAAATTTGCGGGCCACAATGTCAGTTTCCCCTTGGAGCGCTAGATCACCGTCAAACCCTCAGCCCCTTAGAGCTATCGCTCATTCACTAATAATAAATTACAACAGAGTGCAATGACTTTAGAGATATCACTCATTCACTAATAATAAATTGCAACAAAGTGGAGTGACTTCAGAGATATCGCTCGGTCACTAATAATAAAATACACCCTCCTCCATGACACCAGACCTGCCCCATCCCCGCCCTACCCTACTCCTAGCCAGTCCTTTAGAGACCGAATTAGTGACTCCATATTAACCCTTATTGATCCTTTAATTTAGAGACCACATTAGTGCCCACTAACTTCAACCTAAACAGCCTCTCACTGACTCAAAATACAATCCAGTGACTCCCAAAATTGCTACCATTCACCGTAATTCCACAGCCACATGGCCGCATAGATTACAACCTTACCCAACCACGACCTTATTGATCCAAAAAGTCATAACCCTGACCTCGAGAAGGAGAAGAAAACGAAGCCCCTGAGAATAATACCGATGTTATCGATATTATATACGGAGTATAATATAACACACACAGACACATATATGAAGTATATATGTGCGTCAATACAGACTATTACATGTATATGTCCTCTATACGTGTGAATCTTCTCGCACTGGTGTGAAAATGTGTTCGTTGCCTGCAATAGAGGGAAAATGATTTGTTCATCTTTGGATCGAATAACTAAAACTCTTGTATGGAAAGAAGTGTGTTCAAAAAAAGGATGACACCCCATCCCTGAGGGCCCCCAACCCCGACCGGACGGTACGTTGGAAGGATGTAAATTGGACTATAATCCCAATCTGACAAATAGAGAGTGTAGCTCTGTCCCCGGTACTTGCAGAGGCCCTATGCATTTTTAGCATAGTAACCCCTCATCGCAGTTGCCGGGATTCGAACCCGGGGACATAACGCTTGTGTCATTCCCTTGCTACCAGTTGAGCTACGCCCACCGGTTGAAAAGAAGTATATTCCAATCTATAAGCCGTTGAAGGTTCCGTAGGGGTCTAGCAATGTACGGTGGAGTAAGAGTTCTGTAGCGGGGTCATCATGCACATCCCCTAATCCCTAGAGAGATGGAGCATCTTTACATTTTATCTTTAAAAATGTAATTATTTATTTTCTTCTAATGTTGCTTTCCGCTCAGTCCTGTTACTATTGCCCGTTAGTTGATGAAGTGGCAAATGAATGATTGTGTGCTTCATCAAATGTTACATGTAAGCTTGAGTATTTTCAAATGCTTGCTCATATTTATGTACCCGATTTCTGCTAAACATAGCTCTAATCTCTGTCTCTCACTCTCTTGTTGTCGATACATACACATGTCTATTGGGTTTGGTCTTCTCAACATGCCACCTTCTCTGAACTTCTTCTCAAGGTTTAGTGGTTTCATTTTATGTAGCTTGTATAAAGATAAGGGATAAGGGATCAATTTATCATGGTGCTCAAAATCAATTCGGAAAATTAATTCTCGGAGCTTGCTTCTCCTCAAGTCTTCTCCTTGGATTTCGTCTAGGGTTTGTTCTTTTCGACAGATGGCTTTGCGTTGTTTCTTGTTCGATGAATGATTTGGAGTGACAGTGGGAGGGCAGTCGTTACCATGGATTGAATCTGGAGGTTTGTGATTGATACATTCGATTGGAAAATCACCTAGTCAGTTCCGCTCTGCTTGACCGTCGGGGGGGGGGGGGGGGGGGGGGGGGAGGGGGGGAGGGGGGGAGGGGGGATTGAGACTGTGTTGGGTGCAGGGGACAAATGGATGTGGCAACTGTATTGGGTCCTGTTTGGATGGATTTCACCTTAGGGTGGAAGCGATTGGGGTTGCTCGAGTGTGGCAATTTCTGGATCGAGTCCTCAGAAAGAGAGAAGACATATTGGCGGTCCACCGTCCCTCCTGAACCGTCGCCCTGGAGCAATCGAGATGCTAGGGTTTGGAAGATGATACTTCTAGAATAATGACATGAAGGAGCTTGATGTATTTATCAGTTATTATATTTTTTATGGTCTAACTTTCGCGTTATGTTTGTTTATGTTATTTTTTGTTGTCGATGTCTTTAATTTTAGATCTACAATAATGATTGACAATTCAGTTAGATATTATTCCGTTAGAAGGATCTACATCGCCAGTGATTGGTGGTTTACGGTTCATATTGCTTGTTCAGGGTGATCCTTTCTAAGTCTGACTTTAGGGTTGATAGTGCTAGTTGATTATGGATAGTTGTTGTCAGTGTCGGTCTTTTTGAGTTTGTTGTAACGATCCGAGTCCTAATAATATTAATATAAGTGATTTTTCCTTTCAAAATAAAATAAAATGTAAAGATGAGGATATATTTGTGCATTTTAAGAAAGTTGCTAATGTATTGAGTTAATATGTCTTATTTTAAGAAAAGAAAAAATTTATTATTTGCAAATTAACCCTTGTATTCTTGTTATTTATAAATGTATCTGGTGCTCTATGTTGTATCCGCACGGGTAGCTCAGTTGGTCGAGTGGTGGGAAAATTGGATTAAGTGACCAAGGTTCGAAACTCACAATAGCTTTACATAACATGAAATAAGATTGGACCTCTAGTGCGCACATGTATATGGTCTACCGCCGCTTTGCTGACTGAGTCACCATGATTAAACTCTCCACCGTCCTGTCGGGTCGAGGTGGGGCTCGGGATTCCACCTTTTGGACCAAGGTGCTCTATGCTGTTGAAGTGCTGAATGGTCCCCCCAAACCGATCTTTTTCTTCTTCACCCCCAATCTGATGATAAACCCTTGCTAGAACCCTAATTCTACATTTCAGCGCAGCGACCTGCCTACCACTCTCGTCTTCCCGGGAAAATGGCTTCCTCGAAACTCTCCTTCGTTAATAACCATATTAGAACTCTAACTAAACGTCATTTCCGACTCCAAGCGCCGACGCCCAGCTTCCGATGTCTTCGATTCTTCTCTTTTGCCACCCCAGAAGAAGCGGCCGCGGAGCGCCGGAAACGAAAGCGCCGCCTTCGCATCGAACCTCCGATTTCTGCTCTTCGCCAACAGCAGCAGCAGCAACAGCAACCTCGCCCGATGAGCCCACAGAACTCTAACCCCAATGCTCCAAAGATCCCAGAAAATGTCGCTGTACTGACAGGGAATAGACTCAACCTCCATAACCGCATTCTCAAGCTGATCCGCGAGAATGATTTGGAGGAAGCGGCGCTTCTCACTCGGCACTCGATCTATTCCAACTGCCGCCCCACAATCTTCACTTGCAATTCCGTCATGGCTGCTCAACTCCGCCAATCAAGGTACGCCGACCTTCTATCTCTCCACCGTTTCATCACACAGGCTGGGGTTGCCGCCAATATCGTCACGCACAACCTTCTTCTATCCACTTACATGGATTGTCGAAAGACTGACATGGCGTTGGAGCACTATAAGCAGCTCATCAACGATGCCCCTTTCAACCCCTCCCCCACCACTTACCGGATCTTAATCAAAGGTCTAGTCGATAACAATAAGCTTGAAAAGGCACTCGAATTGAAAGAAGATATGTTATCCAAGGGATTCAAAGCCGACCCCATTGTGTACAATTACTTGATGTCTGCTCAAGCTAAGAACTCAGATTCAGATAGAATTTTCGAACTCTATGAGGAATTGAAGGAAAAATCTGGAGGTTCTGTATCAGATGGAGTGGTTTATGGGAGCTTGATGAAAGGTTACTTCTTGAAGGGAATGGAAGATGAGGCTATGAAGTGCTATGCAGAAGCCGTGGGTGAAAATTCAACAATTAAGATGAACGCTGTGGCTTTCAATCATATTTTAGATGCACTAAGCAAGAACGGTAAGTTTGAAGAGGCTCTAAGCCTATTTGATAGGATGATGACAGAACACGATCCTCCCAAAACATTGACTGTCAATCTGGGGAGCTTCAATGTGATAGTGGATGGTTATTGCGCTGAAAGGAAATTCAGTGACGCCATTAATGTTTTCAAATCAATGATCACAAAGAGGGTCAGCCCGGATACACTTTCATACAATAATCTGATTGAACACTTATGCAACAATGATTTATTGGCTGAGGCAGAGGAGCTTTACAAAGACATGGAGGATAAGAAAGTAAAGCCAGATGAGGTCACATTTGTTTTGTTAATGGACACTTGCTTCAAGGAAAACAGGCACGATGATGGAGCTCAATATTTCAAAACAATGGTGGAGTCGAAGCTCAGGCCTAATATGGGGGTTTATAACAGATTGGTTGAAGGACTAGTTAAAGTTGAGAAAATTGGTGAAGCAAAATCTTTCTTTGATATGATGATGGGGAAGCTTAGGATGAGGGATGATGAGTACAAGTTCATAATGAATGCACTATTTGATGTAGGGAAGCATGACGATGTGCTTGCAATTGTGGATAGGATTCTAAGGGAGGACCCGACGGATTTGACCGATGAATTGAAAGAGTTTATCGGAGAAGGGTTACGGAAGGAAGGGAGGGACGAGGAGTTGACAAAGCTTATAGAGGACATTGAAAGGGAGAAGGCTGAAGCTGCAGCTAAGATTGTGGAGGAAGCTGAAAGAGCTAAGGCAAGTACACGAGAAGCTGTTAATGCATTGTTGAATACTCCAAGATTGTTTGGTAAGAAGGAACCAGAAGATGATCAGAAGTCGACAGAAAATGCTGCAGATGCTTCTGAAGAAAATATCACCTCAACAATTAGAGATGCAGAGGTTGTAGAAGAGGAGACTGACGAGGCGGTGTCAAAAGCTAATGGGTGAGTCCTGAAGGTAGAAAATTGTGTCAAAATCGCAGAGAATTATGTGTAACTACTATATTTATGATTGGAAATAAAAACAACTTTACTGTGCACAATCAAGTCACAGCCTCCCGCGCTGGCTTTTGTTAGATTTTGAAAATGAGTGGGGCTGGCGGCATCTTGCTAGCTCCCACACTCACTTAATATAGAGGAGTATTTTCATGAAATCCACATCCTTACCTGATCCTTTACTGCCCTTGAGAAGCCTTTTGTTTGCGAAACTACTACATACTAATGAGTTGTTTTATTTCTTGAACGGATTCGTTCTTGGTTAACATGGTTGATATTATGCTTTTCTTTGAATGGATCTCTGTATTGCGTTTGCATTGGATCACATGGTTGATATTGTCCAAACCCGCCACAAGTGTTGGCTAGGCTGTCTTCCTTGCTGACCAGCCAAATCAAATATATCTACAACACTGAAAACATCCAACCCATAGTCTCAAAGGAACTAATTAGATATATATAACTTTTTTTTTACTTTCTATGCCTTGCACACTATTATTTTTTATCATAAAAATTACTTTCTAATTTTATTTCAAATGCTTTTATAATATTTTTACTGTATTTCAAATTTATACATATAGTAAATTAATTAAAATAGTCGTACACTTTTATGTATGGCATATATTTGTGTCCATAGGCTGATCCATAAGATGTACATATGTATAACTCCATAATCCATATAATGATATACATATTATATTGGGAAAATGGAAACTAATAATTCGACCTTTTAATGGTCTTCTTACAATAATCCCACCATTTATGTGTATAATATGTGTGTAACAAAAGTACAAAACCATTTAGGCCTTGGTTCTAGGGATGGACCCAATCGGGCCGAATCGGGCCGGGAACCGGATCAGCCCGCTACTGTGCGGGCCCAGACCGGACCAGGTCCAGATGGCCGATTCCGGGCTTTAGTCCGGTTTGGGCGGGCCTGGTGGGCCGGGCTCGGGCCTTGATTTTCATGTCCGGGGCGGGCCCAGTTCATTTTTTTTTTGTTTTTTCAATTTTTTTTTGTTCCTTGGGTAGGGGCGTAGGGCTGGTCCGGCTGGGTGTTTTGGGGAGGTTTGAGAAGTGGGGGATGAGGGGGGGTCGGGTGTTAATTAGAAAGCCAAAATAATAATAATAATACATTGAACTGGCCCAGTTTGGCCCGGACCCAGTATCAACCCGGGTCGGTTCCGGGCACAACATTCCGAAAAAAAAGCCCACCTGAACCGACCCGGAGCCCGATCCATGCCTACTTGCTTCTCAGCCTGAACATATCTCAAAACTCAAGTTACTAATTACCGGTCTAGAGTCTCTAGACCAAGGCAATGGGTATTTTTATATGCCCATTTACAGGCCGTGCGTTTTCTTCTACTACTCCCTTTGATTCTTTAAGATTGTTCTAATTTTCTTTTTCGATCTGTCTCACTAAAATTGTCTCGCATCAAATTAATAAAATTTGTGTGGTTGTAAATCATTCATATTTTATTCTTTATCAATTCAATATCAACAACGTAAACCCATTTTTCTTAATAATTTTGTGTCTGCTCACGTTTCAATATTAGTGGGACGGAGATAGTATTACTCAATTGAAGGCTTTTACCATGAGGGTAATATTATGTTTATAAAGTAGGTAGAACTTCAGTGGTCATGTACATTGAAAGCATAACTTTATAAGTTACAACACAAGTTAAAACCTGAAGATTTCTCTATTTCTCTTTCTCACTCAATATTACACAAATACAGAGAATAATAATTACCCCCAAAAAATTAAGAAAATAAAAGAATCAGGTAGTACATAGATTAGGAATGCACACTCCAGCATCTGAGTTATGCTGTGGTTCCTTCCATATCCTCCCTGTAACCCTAAGCTTCAGTTCCTTCCTGTCCCCACCAGAAAAGAAAAGTGCCATGTTACGTTGAATGATAAGTCCATCATGGCTATCCCTTACCTTGCGATGGCTATCCCTAATGCTTCTTGGGGTGCCCTCCCATATCAGCTTTCTACCGTTTGCACCAACCTCCAGGCTGTAGCTGTAGTTGCGTGCTTCACTCTCATCACCCATGAAGCGGAGGAAAGCAATATAAACAGGGGACATCCCAAGCTGGAAGGCCTCGAAGTGGAGGCAGAAGTATTGTCCGAAACAGTGGAAGACCTAACACGTGAAAACAGGGCAAAACTTCAACATTAGGTATTTTTATTGCATGAAATGAGTATATGTAACGAAACAATAAAGAAACAGTGTGTGATCAACCAAAGTCCCCCTCTCAGTAATTAGTATAGTACACTAGACCCTCTAGTATAAGATACAAAATATGCTTACACATTTGGTTCCGTTTGATAGCCACATATTACATAGCACTTTTCCTTTCACAAAAACCAGCTGCTACTTCAACCTAATACGAAATGGGCCCTATATCATACTCCTTCCGTCCCATTTATGTGTATTTTGGATTACGAGGTTTGACTAAAGTTAAAGTATTTTTTCCTATAATAATACTTAAGGTTAACAACTAAAATTTATATATTTGGTAACTAATTTAGAAATTCCATAAAGTTCTATTGAAACACCAAAATTGAATTTGAATGTGTCAAAAGTTTGAAACACAAAATCAAAGAATAAAAAAGGAATTAGGTCGACCATAGGAAACAAATGACAAACAAAATGGAATAGAGTATCAAATAAAATAATGAGACAATAAGTAATAAGTGCATAACATCTGTAGTTAGCGAAAAAATGTGCTGGAAACTACTCCCATTTGTATCGATTGTACATGCATGACCAAAAATATGTGCAATAGTTGCATTTTCCACCTTCATATATGAGGTCAAACTAAAACACAATACCGCAAGATCCGTATTTCCTAAAGGTCAAACGACACAAGATGTGATCACACTCTGTTAAATCATCTATATAATTTTCATTCTTGTAATTTTTAACCTGTTAACAAATCAGATGTTTGTGTTCAGCTCTTTCTAATTCCATAAGAAATTATTGCAGTCATTGTAAAGATCTGCATCACGGTGCATTCTATGCTATCTGCACGGACCCTGCTTGCATATGCAAGAAATCCCTTAGATCTCTCTCTCTCGTGTGAAAGAGAGGGAATGTATGTGTGACCCAAGGGTTTCATGCTACAGTTCCGTAGGGGTAGCAAAGACAAAATTTACGCACTATGTACGGTTGCCTTAAAATGAAGAAATAAAGTTAGTGGTTCACTTACAGTGAGCATCCACGTTGCATTTTCAACTTCACGAGGATTAGACTTGACATATCGATGGTTGAAAGTGGATCCATTGTGCATGTCCACCTTGTGGTCATCCCTTAAATGAGACACCAGATGAGGTATGTCCCCAACCACCGAACACTCAGATCCAGCATACGGGCAATTATATGGTCTAAAGTTACAAACAGCTTCATGCTTGAGTTTGCTGTAATATGGGAATATTTCGGGGCATCCCAGTGCATAATGTTTGCAAGGTAGTTCAAGTGACTCTGCAACCTTCTCTAGTGCTAAGCAGCGTATGTCACCAAGCTCTTGTCTGCATGTAGGGCACCGATTATGTACCCTTGTTTTACAGGTTGAGCACAGCGTGTGCCCGTTGTGACACTGCAATCATAAGATACACTTTTAAATCATACATTAACTATACACATGCATTTAATTTACACTTAGTTTTTCCACACAGACATTATAACTTTTCACTTCTCTGCAATGTTAGCCTCAGCATGTACACTAGCAGCCTGTTTGTTATTGTTGTTTTTCTTCTTTCTTTTTGAAAACTAAAAAGCAGAATAATTTTCAGTTATTTTTTGGCAGTTTTCAGAATTAAAAATAATTAGTAAAGCATGAGTGTATACTATATACAACAAAAGGAAATGAAAGAAAATAAAGATAAAAAAGATAAGCTGTTATAAAAAAGAAGATATAAAAAGAGATGAGTATACACAAAAATGATAAAATAAAAGGATAAAAATAATGTTTATATATATAAGGATAGAAGGATAAAAAAACAAGGAAAAAAAGATGAGAGGAAAAGATATACGAGATCACTTATGGCGCAAATGGAGGAAGTCATTTACAGGAAGAAATCATAAAAGTACAAGTTACCCCGAATGGTGCATTGGTAGGATACGTTATTATGTTATAAAAGACTCTGTATAGCCTTCGCCTAGACCACCTTTCACTGCCTGTGGATTTTCTTATTTAGGCCTCTCCCAGGCCCCTCCCCTCTTAAGTCTTAACCCCATCTAACAATGTTTTTACTTTGGACCGTAATTCGTCCTAGACCAGATCAGACCAGACCAGCAAATTACAGTCCAAGTAAAAACATCCTGATACACGGTCAGACATAGCTCTCGTGCTTTTAGAACATTGTGCTCATAATGTAATTGATAGTTCATTTATGAATAAAAGTGGATATATATATATTAACATCATATTGGTGATCACCACATGCCAATTAAACTACAAAGATAATTACAATTTATCAAAGAAAATTGAAAGCAAAAAATGGGGAGAGAACAACAAACCTGATGAATGGGAGGGTACATGGAATTTGTACAGACAGGGCATTCGAGCAAATCGTGGACACTTGTTGGGACAATTCCGGCTGTGGGCAAAACATTATTGTGAGATTTGGTCGATGAAATGTATTTGGGATGATGAGACGATTGGATCTCTTCATTTTCCATCCCAACCGATGAAGATATGCACTCAATGCTATCGATCTCCATTACTCTCACAAACCCTCACTTCTCCCGATTGGAGGAAAAATCAATCCTTTTCCCTCAACTGTTCGTCTCGATAGATCATTCCTCGGACTCGAGAATTTCTTCTTTCAAATCCTTTTGGTTTCTTCTTCTATCCAGAAGCTAAAGAGACGATGGAAGAAGAAGAAACAAAAGAAATGAAAGAGAGATGTCGATATGGATCGATTCCGAAGAACCAAACGTTGCTCTTTTGACCTGAAAAGATCAGAGAAGGTTCTTTTCTTCCTCTTCCTCCTCTTCTTCCTCCTCTTCTTCTTCCCTTCTTCTCCAACTCTCTCTCTCTTCCGAGTTTATCTCAGATGAACAGAAAGTGCTATGGATCGCCGTTGAATTCAGGAAGACGTCTGGAGGTGATCACGATCTAACGGTTGTCATATATCTGGAATCATCTGCTCTGACACGTATTTACATCAAAACTTCATTTGGAGATACATTGTTATAAATTTTTATAGTATTTGTTCGTTTTAAATAAAATTCACATTTTTCTTTTTATAAAATTTTAAAATAAATTTCACATTTTTGTTTTTTGTAAATTTTTAATGTAAAATTACCCTTATAACCTTACACTAGTACCTACTTTACACTAATCCACTTTTGTAAGGGTGTGATAGAAAAACCAAAACATTAATTCCACTTTCTTAAAAACGTGAATTCAAAACTATCAAATTTATTGGACTGGAGGTGGTATTATGATACTAAGAGTCTTACAAATTTATGATATACTCCGTATTAATTATGATAAACATATCATCATAACACTCCATATTTGATATTTATTGAACAATTAAAATTTACATCTTTAAAATTAAACTAAAGATTATATCAAAACACAAAAACATAAATTCGTATATGATAAAAATCTAACACGCAGAATGAAAGGCAAAGAATTAAAACTTCGTAATCCCATAATTATAAATAACGAGCCTTTTAAAAAGGAGAAATAATTTTTGTTTTATTGACGCATAATATATGGGGTATTACATCATAATAGCATTAAAATTAGCCCAAAACTCAACAATAAGATTACAATCCTATTTATTCTCAAAATAGAACTAATTTATGTCTCTTCTTCCCTTTCTACCCCTTTCCTACAATTCGTAATAGGTTTATTTTATTAATAAGAAAGTCATAGTTTTATTTAAATTTAAAAAAACAAAAAAACTTTAATAAGTCTAAAAAAATAAAATACCTAAAAAATATTTAAAAAATATGTAGGCCACCGCCACCACGTCTTCCACCTCCCAGCATCACCAGCTTCAGTCGTCGTAAAAAATTGTCATCTTGTGTAAAAAAAATGCCACATTTTTCTGAAAAGCCATGAAGATAGCGTTTTTATTCTTTGAAAATATTCAGCTTTCCTTTCAAAATTTCCATCACGGTGACATCCCCCCTATCTTGGCAATCTTTTCCAACGATCGAAGGTGGCGGTGCTGGAAGGTGGCTGAGGAGATGATTGAGGTATGTATATTTTTTATTAATTTTTTATGGCTTTAATTTTTTATTTTAATTTTTTATGTTTTATAATGATTATTTAAAAAATCCTATTAGGAAGGACAAGAGAAATGGTTGAATAGGAAAAATTAGTCATTTTTTTTACAATTATCCTTTTATTTAGTCCTATTTAAGGAAATCTCTCATAATATATTACACAGGACCATGTTTTTACCCTTTCTAAAAAAATCTCTAGCTATTCTGCTCGACTCAAATCTCTAAACTGCATTTTATGTAATTGAAATTAATATTTAATTTGTAAATATGCGACTTTTAATTATTAATGGTAACATCTAATTATTTACGTGCTTAGTTGTAGTAATAAAGTTTTTTTAATCAAGTTTTATAAGCATTTTTAAAACCTTTTATTTAAAAATATGCAACACATTGGCACAAAATAAAGTTAAAAACGACCAATATAATGGTTTTAAAATGATATTTACTAACAGAGATATTTTCCAATTTTCTATTTCTGTTTTCCATTCTTCAATTTTCCGTTTTTACTTCCCAATTTTTCTATCTCCAATTTTCTGTTTTCATTTTTTAGTTTTCCATTTTCAAATTTGAAAACATGTTCATCAAATTTTTTCACCCAATTCCAGAAGACTGAAAGTACGGTCCCATATCATTCCGAAATCAAACATAGTAAAACCCAAGTAGGGTACCAGGTCCCACGTATAGGAAAGTCGGGACCGAAATCGGCCGGGCCCGGTCGACCTCAACGGTTAGTTTGACGAATTCTTTTCTCATTTCCCTATTGGTTAACAACTCAACAGTTCTTTTAAAACTCTTCACTTTAAAAAGTGATTTCAAATAACCGAGACTGAACCGCCGGGTCATTGACTGGCCCAGACAGGGATCACGAACTCGTTGACGGGCTGGCCCGGGACCGCTTAGTCGTGGATCGGACCGGATAAGGATCACCGGGTCATCGATCGGACATGATAGTGATCGCTGGGTCATCAATCGGACAAGATAGGGACCGTCGGGTCATGGACATGACCAGACAGGGGTCGCGGGGTCGTTGACCAGACTGGACGGGGGACTACCAGGTCGTGGCCTGGAATAGACCGGGATTGCGCGCCCGTCGATCGGACCAGTCAGGGACCGTCGGGTCAGTGACCAGGTAGGGACCACCGGGTCGTTGACCGAACCGGACGAGGACCATTGAGTCGTTGACCGTACTAGATCAGACCGGGACTACCAGCCAGTCGACGGAGTGAACACGTACCGCTTGATCGTGGATCGGGCTGGACAGGGACCGTTAGATCATCGATCGGACCAGACAGGGACTGTTGGATCGTGGATCGGACCGGACAGTTGGGTCATGGACTGGACTGGACAGGGATCGCCAGGTCATGGACCGGACCGGACAGAGACCGCTGGGTCGTCGACCAGACTTACCGGAACTGTCGAGCCATCGACCGGACCAGACCGGGATTGCTCGACCATCGACTGGACCAGACAGGGACCGCCGGGTCAATGACCGAATCAGACCACCGGGTCGTTGACCGGACCAGATAGGGACCGTAGGGTCGTTCACCGAACTAGAACTGACACTGGAGCGGGAGCGAATGCACCACTAGGTGTAAGTATGCATATTCATTGCAACGGTTCTGCAGCATCCGCGTTTTCCAAATTTGAAAAACTAGTAAAAGTCACTTCTCCAATTCATTAAGGAAAAGAGAGATTTCTCATTTTTTTCGTTTTTGAAAACGATTTGGTAAACACACTTTTCTGTTTTCTTTTCTCCAGTTTTCCAATAATTTTCTTTGGTAAATGCGTTTTCTGTTTTCCTTTTTCCAGTTTTCCAATTTTCTAAAAATCTGAAAAATATCACTGTTAGTAAACAAACCCTAAATGTTTCTCTAATTATAATGATATCATTCTCCTCCCTCTCAAGTTATACCTCTCATATGTGGTTGAGGTGCATTTAATAATCGTATATTTTGCTTTCCAAACACGCTTTAGTGATAATGCTAATATGATTCTCCTTAGATCAGTCCCTCCCTTTCTACAACCACCCATGCTCTATCCTCCAGATCTAAGTTGGGGTACTTTTCTTACATGGTTTAGTCAAAAGGAATAAATACAACTTTGAATTATTTTTGAAAGGAATGGCATCCTTAAATGTAAAAATTTGACCATAAAAACTGAAATCTATAAACGATTAACTTTTCAAGCAATTAAACAAAATTTATAAAATCAGAATAAATATAAACTCTTCAGCTATGTTTGAAAGATTATATAAACTGCGTACATATTAGCTACTTTTGTGTAATGTAGAAAATACATATGCCCTCAACTATTTGTAAATTAGAGAATATTTATTGTTTTACGTAGTACAATTTTTGTGTTCAACTATTCTACATTCATAATGGTATACGATGGTACCATGGATTCTGACCATGACCCAATTGCGTGATCCATCCCATGACGGGATCAGCCCTTAACGGGATTAGCCTATAAATGGGATCAAGCCTTGAACGAGATTCATATTGGATAAGCCGCTAGGTCCGATTAGGGATCAGGCCCACGATAGGAACCCACAGCCAGGTCGGGCTGGACAACAGACCTCGAGCCTGGGCGGAGTTCCAGTGAGGTTGGGATATTCCTAGGGTTTATGTGGTGAGCTATCATTTGAGCATAGCTATTTGGCAGCAGGCAGGACTCAACGGGAGACGTAAACTTGAAGGAGATAATCATTGCACAGTGGCCAAGACGCTACAGGAGTTCCATTCGGACTAATGTACAATTAATAACATTTAATGTAGTAGTTTCCTCCTAGAATACTAACTCCTAAAGTCTATAAATACTTCCTGTAAATACCCTATGAGGGGATCGAAAATCATTCTTCCGAACAATAATAATACTACTTTACGTTGCCATATTTTGATATCTTAGTAGATTTAGCTCACATAGTTGGATTAAACTCCATCATTTGCTGCTTTCATTGAGAGCCAAATCTGCAAAGATGATGGTTGGATCCAATGGTCATAACCGTATGGGTAGCAATCAAGGCGGTGATCTTATAAACTAGGTCGTGGTTGAGGACGAAGGTTCGAGGTCTCAACGGAGCGATTTCTGAAGACGCAATAATAACACAACAACCCAAGGCAATTTGAGGAATCATCTTCACGACACCGGGAGTCCCAGGTGCATGGCGGTGCAGCCATCACAATTTCAAACACCGGGTTCCAAACACAATATCCCCAATGTAGATCCAGCGCAAGCCCTAGCAAGTTTGGCAACGTTTCAAAGAGCGGTGGAAACCTTGACTACCATTTTTTAAGGTATCATCCCTGATCCTGTTGGGAGACCTCCTTTCCCCCATCGAGCACCATCCATAGCTCAGCAAGAAGGGGAGGCATCTCCTCAACAGCAGAGGGGTTCTCCATAGACCTGGTCTCAGCGCTCCCATCGTTCCAGGACGACCCTGAGGAATCGAGCAAGTGAACAGCGAGTTTCTGTCCAAGATAGGCTCTCCTCTAGGGCCGAACACAGTGAGGGAGCTTCTTCGGCCGCCGTTTCGTCCCACCGCTGCAGCGCGTGTGGGGGAGATCTTCGAGATGAGATCAACGCGAATAGGTAGGCCCGAAGAGGTCACCGATCCCTGTTGCGTACCCTGGTAGGTCACAATGACAACAACCTCAGGAGGAGACTGGACGAGCTCAGAAGGGAGCTAGATGGTAGAACCAATCTCAATCGTGATGTAAGAATCCCCGAGCCTTTCACGCGCCAGATTATGAACGCACCATTACCACAAGGGTACAGGCCATGCAACATTGAGGCTTAATGAGGGAAAACCGACCCAACATCATGTCTCCAGGCATGTAGCCTACATGGTTATGATGGGGTATGATGACGCCATCAAGTGTAGGGGGTTCTCGGTGACTTTAGACGGGCCAGCCCGGAAATGCTATGATTCCTTGCCAG